TTTCAACGAACAAGCAAATGTTCTGAAAATTTAATGGTCACGTTTTTGAATGATGTCATTTGTTTATTAAATTAAAAAATTGAACTGATATGAGTAAAAATAAATTCTAAAATGAGTAAGTAATTGTGCATGTAAAGTTGTGTTTATTGCAAATCTTGGCATTCTTTAAAGAAGATGATGCCTATTTTATTCAAAGTAAACTTATTATTTTGTTGAAGTAGGAAGGTATAAATGAAGGTGATAAGGTAGCAAATGAGAAAGGTATAAAAAATATTTTGTGATTATGAAGAAAAAACTTCTATGTATTCAAACTTTGGTAAGAAAAATGTGTAAAAGTTTCTTTTTGAGAACCAAAAAATAAGCAAATTTATCTTTTATAAATTGCATTTAATTTATTTTAATTATTGGATGATTTTTTTGAAGTTTATGTTAAAATATTTTTGTTTTATTTTTACATCCGTAATGAGAAAATGCTAGCAAGTATAAAAATATTTTTGTGTATAAGAAATTTTATGTCTTAATTATAAAAATAAGAAGGAAGAAATGGCGCTCCATTTATAGTCTTCCATCTTTTATGGTCTTACAGAAAACCTTTTTTTTGAATTAAAAATCTTCTCAGCTAGTAGAACAAAGTTTTCAAATATTTGACTGTAAAGTACTCGAAGTCACACCTTTAGATTATTTCATTTGTTGTTTTCAACAACAATCCTTTTTAAAAACAATTAATACTTGGCAATAAATTAAAATAAATTGTACTACCTATCACATTTTTAAATTATTTTGAAATAAGCATGTGTTGAGCACAAGAAATTCATACAAGTAATATCTTTTTCACACAAGTCAAAAGTAAATATTACTCATAATAAGTAGTAAAAGTCAAAATGTCAACACTTGGCTAGAATCGGTAAGGTAAGGCTAGAAGTGGGAAAAGAGAAATTCAGAATGTAGATAAATCTATTTTTTGTCTTTTATGCATAATTTATTATTATTTTGTTGCACTGCATAAGGCTTCTTTTCTTTTGCTCTAATTTGGCAGTTTTTTCTGTCTTCTAAATTTAAATCCAAAGAAATGCACATATTTATCTAATAATAATGCCTACATTACTTGACTAAGAGCAATCTAGTCTTATTGTTTCTGCTATTATTATTTGCAAGTGATATATATTTTATATTAATAGCAATATACTTCCCATCTTTTTTTTCATGTTTATTTCTAATAATAGAAAGTATTACTAACCAAAGTATATTACTTGACTGACATTTTTAGCAAATATCTCTAGAATTTTTTGAAATTAAGGATTATAGGGTTGAAAAAATAAGCATGAATTGCATTCCATACTGACATGCCTCAGTGTTGTTCGTGCAAATGATTTAAAAAAAGATATATTAGCAGTAAAAGAGTTTAAAAATTTATGGAATTTAAGCGGGAAAAAATTTCTTAAATTAAGTCAGATAGTTTTTTATTTTGGAATTAAGCTGCTATTTAATTTTTGAGATTGTAGAAGAAAGGCAATAATTGACTAAGTTTGTTAATAATTGTATTTATTGCTTAACGTTCTAATTTTATAAATTTTTGACTTTTTATAGAAAGGTGCTAGTACGAATGCTAATCGCAAGTTTTCAAATTTGTTTGATCGTAAATTAAGTTTATTCACGCGAAAGAAAAACTCGCAACATCATCAAGTTGAAGGCAGCGAATTAACATCCAATTACATAACTCTGGTCAGAATATATATTTTTTATTAAACAATTATTATGGATTAAATATTCGAGAAAATTTAGACTTAATCTCATTAGTTACTTCACTTCAGATATTCAGTACTGTAATTTGCAGTAAATAGAGACAAGTATTTAATAGCACTGTTCATTGCAGACATGCAAATCATTAGTAAATTAAAAGACAGCATATTAATTAATATATAATTCATCACTGAAACAGATTTGTAATTCATGACAATATTTTTCTGAGAGTGTAATCCTTATTATTTTATAAATTATTAATAAAAAAAATAGAGTTATCAGCTAAGGTTTTATAATGTAAAAATGATTGAAGGTGAAATTTTTTGTTCAAAATTTTTATAGGATTTTGATCAAAAAACAGATGATCTTCCATCTTTCGAATTGTATGAAACGATTAGCTCAGGCGTGAAGTGTAAAGATCGAGACACCGAAAGCGTTCGAGGTCAATCTCCAGTTTCATCGCTTTCGGAACTGAGAAAGAAGTCATCAGGCGAGGAAGATTCCGATCTACACACTAAGAAAAGCATTTCGTTGCGCAATCGAAAGTTATCATTTGCTGGATTAAGTAGTGAGGTTGTGTAAATATTCATCCATCATCAGTTTGATCACGTTTCTAATCATTTATTCTGTATCATATATATTTGCGTTTCTTGTACAAATTATATATTTTATATGTTGTTTACTTTAGAGGTAAAAAAGTATGATAAAAAGATTGGGTGCGCAGCTTTTATTTTATCAAAATTGATTATCCATTCCAATCAAAGTTTTATTGGAAGATGTAAAAAAGTAATTTTGTATACTATGTTACAGAGCGGTGGTTCAGTGGAGACAATACAAATGCAAAACAATATGCAGATTTATACAAAAACTGCAAATTTTAAGGTTGAATTTTGCAATTTTTCACATAATTTTATCGTCTTTTAGTGCATGCTTTCAAGTTTACTCAAATATTTTGTGATAACTTAGTTGCAAAAATTGAATTCGTTTTTGTTATAAGATTCATCATGAAAATATAGATATTTGGTAGAGCTAATAAACTGTGATTTTTAGGGTACGATAGTAGCAATAAAAAAGTTGAATATTGACCCAAAGAAATATCCTAAACTTGATTTAACACGTTCGATGCTTATGGAATTTAAACGGATCAAAGATTTACAACATGATCATATTACTAGGTAAGTAACATCATTATTTTTTAAAGTAATGCGCAATAATCAAACTGATAGTTATGCAATGAATTATCAACGTCTTTTTTTTAATTGAAAATGTAATAATGTTATTATATTTATTGGTTAAAATTTTTTCTTGCTAAATATTGACAAACTTTTTAGGTTTACTGGTGCATGTGTTGATTGCCCACATTATTGTTTGGTACAAGAATATTGTCCTAAAGGATCTTTGGAAGACATTTTAGAAAACGAGAAAATTGAATTAGACAAAATGATGAAGTATTCATTATTGCATGATTTAGTTAAGGTTAATTATTCATTACTTTTTTATTTTTTGAACCAAATTTTTCCATCATTTAATTCAAGTTGGATGCAAAAACTAAATGTTATGATTGATCAAGTGTACAAGTTAAGTTTATCATTGAATTAAAATATATATATTTCATTACATAACCTTCATTAAGTGACTTAGAAGATATCAAATGTTTCTAGCTCTCAAATCATTAGATGCTTGTTAAAAATTCAAATGGTTGTAAATATGATCAGGAATTTATTTGTTTATTTTAGTACTTCTGATCTTCAATAGAAGTAAATGAAAATGTAACGAATTAATAATTTCTTGGTTAGTCATCTTCATGACACAAGTTTTATTCTCTAAATATAATCAGGTTTGAATTTTCTTGAAGGTAGAATGATTAATTATTTTAGGGTATGTATTTTTTGCATAATACATTTGTTGGTTCACATGGAAAGTTAAAATCATCGAACTGTGTGGTTGACAGCCGTTTTGTGCTTAAAGTTACCGATTTTGGTTTTCATGAATTACATGCTTTAGAAGATGAAAACATCGATGAAATCGGAGAACATGCTTTTTACAAAAGTAATTTAATTTTATTCTTTTATTTTTTGTGTCTTTGCAGTGATTAAAACATTTTTTGTAACTTTCAGAAAAATTGTGGACTGCACCAGAGATACTGCGCAATCCAAATCGCTACCCACCAAATGGTACCAAAGCGGGTGATGCTTATAGTTTTGCTATAATATTGCATGAAATGTTATTTCGAAAAGGTGTTTTCTATTTATCTGATGAACCTTCCCCCAAAGGTTTGCTATTAAGATACATTTAGAAGTTTGTAATTTCAATACTTTCATAAAAATGCAAAACACTAATGAGTTCTAAAAAAGTTTAATAAAATCGAAAAATTTATTTTAAATTTAACAAGTTGTAAACTTCACTTTTTTTCATTAATTTCATAAAGTTTGTTGGCTTTAAAAATCTTTGTAGTAAAACTTCTAAAAAATCAAATTCTGTGACTAAATTATGAAGATGGTAGTTTACAGAATGTTTTCTCTTTTTTGTTTTAACTTTTTCTCGATGTATGATAGGCTGAATTGCAGAAATTTGTGAACGTGTTAAAAAAGTGCCAACATTCGAAGAAGTACTATACAGACCATTAATACCAGAAAGTTCTTCATCAGATGGTCAAATCGAGCCAAATTTAATCAGTTTGATGGCTAGTTGTTGGGCTGAAGAATGCCATGAGCGCCCTGATTTTGCTGTCATTAGGAAAGTGGTTCGGTCATTAAATAGGTTTATTACTTTGTGATATTTGTATATATTTGTATAAATTTATTAAATGAAGTTTTAAAAAAATATTTACAATTTATTTTCATTATTGACAAAAGAATGTCAGAAATCTGTTTTAATATTTCTTGTTCAGATTCTGAATATATATGGTGTTAAGATAATTTGACTTAAATAAACGATAAATTAAATAGCTAAAACAAATTCACACTGTTTTATTATAGAATAGTCAAGAGCAAATTTTTTTTTTGAGATTTGTTTTATTCCCATGCGTAGATTGTAGTTTGGCTGTTGTAGAATTCAAAACCATTTACAAAGTATATAGTGAGATTCATTTAATTCATTTTGAATTCTGAAATTTTAAGGTTTATTGATAAAATTTAAAGCGATATGCTTTAGGAGTAACGAAACATCAAATATGGTGGATAACTTATTAAAACGGATGGAGCAGTATGCAAATAACTTAGAGGGTTTAGTCCAAGAACGTACACAAGAATATCTTGCTGAGAAACAAAAAGTTGAAGATCTTTTGCATCAGCTGCTTCCTCGTAGTGTTGCTGATCAGGTATACACTATTTTAGCATAATTTTCATCTACAATTTTTTATTTATATTCATTAAAAACTTATTCAGAATTCGCTAAAAATAAATTTTTAAATATCAGCACTGTATACCTAAACTTCACTACGATAGTTTAAAAATTGCAGTTGATAAGTGGTCGTGCTGTGGAGGCAGAAGCATTTGGAAGTGTCACCATTTACTTTTCTGATATTGTTGGTTTCACAGCCTTATCATCTGTATCAACACCAATGCAGGTATAATCAGAATCTAATTTTACTTATTATACGATTCCATGCTATCAGTAAGCCGTTTCTTTTTAATACTAGTATTATTAAAATTTTGATAGAATATAATACTTTTCAGGCGAAGCATAATGTTTCTCTTTTAAGTTATATAATAAGCTATTATGAAAAAGTCATATTTCAGTCCCAAATTATACTTAACTATTGAAATTACGGATGCGTTATTAAAAATCTACGCAGTAATATAAATAATATTCAGTAAAGAAAAGTTTAAAATTGTCTCATAAAATTCTGCTTTATATTACTTTTATTTTAAAGATTAAAAATTTGTTAAATTATATCTATTCAATTAAATTACTTAACAAAAATATGCTTTTTGATTTCAGATATTTAAAAAAATGTTTAGGTGATAATAACCAAAGCTTATTTACGTGAAAAATCAAATGACTGGCCTACTTCATACTTTGCTTAATGTTACTATAGTTGTTTTGAAGTTTAATCTTAATTTATATTTTTCTAAAGAGTTTTCGATTTACATGGGAAATACGCATTATTTTAGTAGAAGAAATTTTTGTACAAGTTTTATTATTTATTTTATATGGTCTAATTGTCTTTATTATAGGTAGTAACTTTATTAAACGATCTTTACTTGGCATTTGATGCTGTTGTTGATAACTTCAAAGTATATAAAGTAGAAACAATCGGTGATGCATATATGGTAGTGTCAGGTCTACCAGAGCGACATGACCATCATGCTTCACAAATTGCTCAGATGTCTTTGGCATTATTGCATAAAGTGAAAAATTTTGTCATACGACATCGTCCCAGCGAACAGCTCAAATTACGTATTGGCATTCATTCTGGTTTGTATTTTCATCAGCTATCATTTAGTCATATTATATAGTATTATCATTGTTTCAGTATATTGCAGTCATATCTGTTTTATAACACTTTCATTACGTCTTTTATAAGTTATTTTATTATATTAAAATGCAACATTAAATCTTTTTATTATGAATGCCATAAATAAATGAAGTTATTAGTAGTATTAGTTTGATTATTTGATCATGTATAACATATTTCTGTGAGATTTGTGATCTATTACATCTATGAATGTTATCGCTAAATATATATGTCATAATATGCAAATTATTTTTTAATGATCACTGAAGCACATTTTATTCAAGGGCCAGTAGTTGCGGGAGTTGTAGGATGTAAAATGCCACGGTATTGTTTATTTGGTGATACAGTAAATACTAGTAGTCGAATGGAAAGCACTGGTTTACGTAAGTTTTTTAATATAATTTCATATAAAACAAATATTTATCTTTTTATTTGAACTTGTGAGTCTCTCAAATAATTAACAGTTTATCATGGTAATTTAAGTAAAAATAAGCCAATGAATGATATGAATTCTTATTTCTGAGTAGTCAGAGTTAGCTAGTAGTAAAAAAGGATTTTTTTTGCAGCACTTCGAATTCACGTCAGTGGTCAGACTAAAGCTATCCTGGACAAAGATCCAGGATTTGAATTAGTGCTTCGAGGAGAAGTGGAAATGAAAGGCAAGGGCAAACAGGTCACCTATTGGCTGAAAGGTTATAAGGATGTTTGTATTCCTGATTTTGGACCAGAATATCGATAAAACTAGCTATGACGGTTTTTTTGTAATTTCTTAATTTATATCAGACAAATTAGCAGTTATGTAGTATTGTTACTGACAAAATGATTTGGTTTTTACATTTCATTCTGTTCTTTGTTCGAGACTATTCGCATGACAGTATTTCTGTATACGGGTTCTATTGTAACTGACGGTATTTTTAAGTACATAACTCGTAAATAATATTCTTGGAAAATGAAGTTTGGGAGCTTAAAGTGATGAACTGTATTAACTTAATCATCAAAATTTTTGAATAGTTCAATATAATTGATAAGTACTGAAAGCAGAAGTAAAGTTATTTAGAATTTAAAAAAAGAACAAATTATTAATTTTCTTACTGCAAATTAATAGTAAATTTCAGCTCATATCACGTTTAATATTATTAACTTATTAAAATTTAAGTTGTAGTTACAAATTTATCGCATGCGTACACTGCTGCAACTCATCAGCGGCGCTTATCAATACGGGTCTAAATTTTTGCATACTCTATACTTATTATATTTGTTTCATCTTAAATTTAATTTTAGTCTTGTATAATTATGATATATTTGAGTTGAATGCTGCATTGAGTACGAAATTGTTATTTTTTAGTTGTGATTTATCATTTTTCTTCAGTAACAGTTATTTTAAGAAGTATGAATTCGAATTTTGATTAAATTGTAAACTTAATTTTGTATCATAAAAACTTGAGTATTGCTCACCAAGAATTATTACTTCGAAATTGTTATCACTTTGAAAATATTAATGAGTAACAATTTACTGATTCTAACTGAAATATTATATTTGATTTAATCATACTATTTCATTTAAAATCT